ACTGCAGTGTAGAAAAGTGGGCCAGATAATTCCTTATCCACTTCATTTCCTATTCAACCAATTTCATAAAAACAAGTAAATTCACGTGTAATACTGCAATATCCAAAGTGTTCCAACTTGTATTGCCAACATAATAAACTGAGTCTTTGGGAAAATATTTGTTGATGAGGCATGGATTTTTCCCTGAATGACATTAAAAAGTTATAATTTGCACCCTCCCTGCCCTTGGCTTCCTAGCACCTAACCATGACTAAGCCATAATTCAGTTCATACTGGTAGTATTATGAAATAATCCATAGTAAGAATTATGATGGGTAATGGAAAAAGATAACCTGAGGCCAGTCTGTGAGATTCTGATGCCACTTTTTAAAAAATATATTTTAATGATTTTTTTTTATTTATAGAGGGAGAGAGGAAAGGAGAGGGATAGAGAGCTAGAATCACTGATAAGAGAGAAAGATCATCAATAGGCTGCCTCCTGCATGCCCCCTACTGGGGATCAAACCCAAAACCAGGGCATGTGCCCTGACGGGGAATCCAACCAGTGACCTCTTGGTTCATGGGTCGATGCTCAACCACTGAGCACACCAGCCGGCTTGATGCCACTTTAAGAAATTCAGACTTTTTCAGCCGGGCCAGGTGTGGCTCAGTGGTTGAGCATCGACCTAGGATCCTGGAGATAGTGGTTCAGTTCCTGGTCAGGGCACATGCCAGGGCTGCGGGCTTGATCCCCAGCTGGGGGTGTGCAGGAGGCAGCCAATCAATGACTCTCTCCTCATTGATGTTTCTATCTCTCTCTCCCTCTCCTTTCCTCTCTCTAAAATCAATAAAGATATATTAAAAAAAGAAAAAAAGTCAGACTTTTTCAGAAGGCAATTCTAATTACCTTTAGAAACAAAAACTTGTTTTAATTATTCAGTTAATGAACTTTTTAGGCCATATGATACTACTTTTGGGGGTCCACTTTTATAGATAATGCATTTCTCCTTGGCACCTGTACAAAACATAATCTTTTTGTATTATGGGTTGAGCCACTCCTTTATATCTCCTAGGTCAGATATAAAGCATGGCCATTTAACTAATCATTAAAGAAAAATCTATTTTAGCTGCAAGAATAAGAATGGTAATTTTATTCCTTCTCCAGTTTCTGTTTATTTTTTGTTCACATCTGATTTCCAAATATCCAACCATACCTTTGTCACATTTTGCTTTACTATTCTAACAACATTAGGTATTCTCTAAGACTGTTTGCAGCTTTCAAGCTCCCTGTGGAGAGGCAATGTTTGTTTATATCTGAGAGTAATAAAAACGACAAACAGGAATCTTTATTTGGTCTTGCTAAGGAACAGAACACAATAACTACACTTGAGAGGAGGGAGTAAGGGATAAGGCTGTGGGGGCTGAATAAAAAGGTCTACTCCTCCAAATAATGTGTGAGTACAGCATCAAAAGTGCACGGAGCCCCAGCCGGGTGGCTCAGTTTTGGTTGAGCGTGGCCCCAATACACCAAGGTTGCAGTTTCGATCCCTGGTCAGGGTTTGTACAGAAGGCAACTGATGGATGCTTCTCTCTCATATTGATTTTTCCCTTTCTCTCTCCTCTTTTCTTCTCTCTAAAAATTAATGAAAACACATATGCTGGCCCTCCCTCCTAGGAGCAACCCCATGCCTTTCCCTTTCCTTTTTCCTTCTCTTCCCCTCCCTCCCTGACCTCCCAGGAACATTACCATTAGCTTCCTCAGTCCCAAGTTCCAAAGGCCCTTTCATAGCATCTATAACTTGTTTCCTAATTTTTTCTAGGAATTATTTCTTCCACCTCTGTAATTTTACCAAATAAATGTTCTCTTATAGTTAAAATAAACAAACACAAAAAACATATCCTTGGGTGAGGATTTAAAAAAGAAAAGTACACAGAGCCCTGGCCAGGTTGCTCAGTTGGTTAGTGTGTCATCCTGATATGCCAAGGTTGCCATTTTGATCCCCAGTCAGGGCACATACAAGAAGCAACAAATGAATGCATGAATAAGTGGAACAACAAATTGATGTTTCTCTCTCTCTCTATTAAAAAAAAAAAAAAAAAAGTGCACAAACTCTGGAGAAAGATAAGAGACTTCCCAGGTCTGAATATTAGGTGTGCCACTAACAGGCTGTGACCCTGGAAAGGTTACTTAAACCTCTTCTTGTCTCACTTCTCTCATCCAAAAAAAAAAACGAAATAATACAATGTATTATTACCTAATAAAATGTTGCAAAGTTTATACGACTTAACATATGTAAAGCACTGAGAACAGTACTTGGCACATGGTATGGTACATGTGTTAGCCTTTTTATCAACTACAGTGCAGGCTTCACAAAAGCAAGGATTTTAATCTGCTTTGTTTACTGAACTCCCATGCCTAAAATCATATTTGGCACATAGTAAGTGCACAGTATTTGTTAAATGAATGAATAAATAAGAAACATTTTCATTTAGAGTAAGAGAAACAGTAGAAACACTATTTAAAAGAGAGAAGGAAAACAAGGATTTAATGTCTCGCTCCTTCTCCTCTACTTTTTCAAGAGATGTCCTTCCCCACAAACTTTGTCCTACTTTTGTTGAGTATTATAACATCAGCATTCATTGTGGAATATTTTCACAAACTGCTATAAGAAGGCCTTTGCTGCATGCATTTCCAAGCTTAGGAGAAGATAGCCCCTATAACCCTGCTACTCAAAATGTGGTCCTCTGACCAACATCAGTGTCATCTAGGTCCTTGTTAAAATGGTAAATCAGCCCTACACATAACAGAATGCATATTAAAATTTGAGAAGTACAGTTCTAGACCACTCTAGATAAAGGGCATAGACTTTACAAGGATCAGGGCTCAAATCTAGGCTCTCACACTTTATTATCTGTAAGACTTGGGGCAAGTTTATAAACTTCCCAATTCCTTCATCTGTAAAATTGAAAGAGTAATAGTAGTTGCCTCCAAGAGCCGCTATGAGGATTGAACAAAAATGCACAGGGAGCATTTGATAGGCTGCAAAGAAACAGGACATGCCAATAAATGTTAGCTGCTTTTATTGTTAAAATTCCCCCTCCTCTACTATAACACTCCACAGTGAAATTTTAGAATTAAACACTAGAAAGAAGAGCTTTATTTTACAAAGGAAATTGTTTGTTTTGCTTTTCTTTCTAATTTAAACTACACAATGAGTCCCCCCCTTCAAGATCAGTGTGAAATTCAAGTTCACCTAACAGGAATAATTGCCTCTTAAATTTCTGTTATCTTGCCATCTTTTTCCAATTTATATTCCCTCTGGTCTTAACTGTCACTGTGCATGAGAATAGCCAAACACATGGATGAATAACCGAACTAAATGACCAAGTGAATGAACACTATTAAGTCTAAAGTCAGAACTAATCCCTAAGAAGCGCTACTTAGAAAGTCTGGAAATTCAATAGGGAGTTTAGACTCCTTTAAAAATATTAAGCTTTACTGAAATAGCCTACAAATTGAGTTTGAACATATTGAAAAGAATTTTTCAAATCAGAAATACGGCTCACAAATAAAACCACCACAGATATTTGAAATCCTATAAACACTGGCCAAAGGAGAACAATAATTAGGATTTTGGTAAAAGCAATGCTTAGTATGTAGAAATATTACATCCTACATTAAAGGGCATAATTACTTGTTTTCAAGTAATGCTTGCCGCTAGCTAGTGCATGATTTTATGAACCATTTTCTCAAAGCGGCAAATCAGGTAGCAAGAACATACTGCTTTCGGTTCTCACTGAAACAGTAGAATAAAACTAAAAGCAAAGGAAGAAAGCATGATTAGGAGAGCAACTTCCTTCCTCTGTCATTAAAAGGTGTGTTATCAACAAAAAGTATTAGCTAAAAAGGTGTTAGACAAAATTTCAGTTGGTTTTCTTCCTTCTGGGAAGGTTAGGACTTGGTTCTGTACTTCTAGAAAGGTTAGAATTTGATCTGCTTACTTAGGCAAATTAGAAAACTCAGTCAGAAAATCAGGTTTAATAGTTATAATTATTGTAGACTTTGAGAGTTTGCTAGGTGCAACCTAAACAAACAAACAAAACCAAACCTGCCAGAAAAACCTCAAAACCACTTCGTATCCATTAGAATGGCTATTATAAAAAAACAAAAATAAACAAGTGATGGGTAGGAATGTAAAATGTGCATAAGCTATGGGAAGTGGTGTGGCGAATTCTCAAAAAATTAAAAATAAAATGACCATATGACCCAGAAATTCCCCTGCTGGGTATATACCACAAAGAAATGAAAGCAAGGACTCAAAAAGGTATTTGTGCATCAATGTTCACAGCAGCATTATTCATAACAGCCAAAAGGTGAAGAAAAAAAGTAGCCACTGACCGATGAATCAGCACCATGCGGTGGATACATACAGTGGGATGCTCTTCAGCCTTAGAGAGGAAGGGAATCCTGACACATGCTACGTGGATGAGCATTGAAAAGATTATATTCAGTGAAATAAGCCAGTCGCGGACAAACATTGTATGACTTCTCTGATGTAAGGTTCCTAGACTTTGGCTGCCAGGTGCTGGGGACAGGGGAAAATGAGTTCGTGCTCAATGGTCACATCCAGTTTCGGCTCAGGGAAATGACTGTGGAGACGGATGGTGGTGATGGCTGCACAACGTGACTGTACTTAATGCCTCAGAATTATACCCTTAAACATGGTTAAAATAATACATTTTAAGTTACGTATATTTTACCACAATAAAAAAAGTTTGCTAAGTTATCTTCACATTCTTAAACCAGTAAAAGATATTATGTTTTGATGATATGAATATTTTCATTTAAATTTTTTAAATGTCCAACATAAAAAAGTACTCAATTTTCTTTTTGCTTTTTTTCCTTTTAACTAAAAAAAAAGATCAACCTCTGAAAATTCCAATTTAAATAGTTAGGAAGAGGAGTGAAAGAAGAGAGAAGAAATTACAAAACAAAGCAAAACAAAACACACAAAAAAAACCTTGTTTAGGTGTTTCTTCCTCCTTTTTAGTCTCCTCATCTTCTAAGCTGGGGCTTCCCCGTGAAGAGTTGTCCTGGTGGCTGGAGTTTTTCAATAGTACAGGATCAATTTGTGCTTTCAGGAGTGCAAGAGTCTCAGCCAACTCGTTTCGATTTCTAAATAAGGGAAAAAATGAGACAGTATAAAAATCTTTCTTCTGTTCTAAAGAGCTTTCAGAATAATACGTATTAGAAATTAAATTTAAAAATAAAAAACACTTTAGGAACAACCAAATCACTGGTACAAGCTAGAGCGCATTAAGCTTGAATTTTAAAATTACGTATTAGAAATGAACATGTTCTATGCAATCTCTAAGGAGTACAAAATCAATGTAAAACTTGCTTGAAAAAGCATTTCTTTTTAACAGAATGATTCACATTCTGGTTCATTTGAAAATAAGAACTCTTTCCCACCTACAGAGAGAAAAACATTTGATACTGTTACAAAACTATGATCCAAGTCTGAGTAATTAAATGTCAAAAAGTCAGCTGTAATAATACAGTTCAAAACCTAAGAATTTGGGTTACTGATGTTGTTTGGTCAATTATAGTTTATAACTACAGGAAGGGAATTCATTTTGAATCAAACACCTACCAACCAGGTGTGAGAGATCCCGCTGATCCACATTCTTGCTAACATTTGGCGTTGTTAAGTCATTTTTATTTTAGTCATTCTAGCGGAGGTAAAGTGGTATCTTGAAATGGAGAATATGCCACCTCTGAATGTACCACTTTGGCATATTATTTTAAATTAAAATTACTTGAGAAACAGCTGGTGCAAAGACACTCTGACAGTGTTGCGTGCTCCTGAAAGCGGGGAAATAAATCTCCCAGGTGAAGATAGCCAACCTATACAAAAGGTAGAATGCGCCCGTATCACCAGAGTCAGGGTGTCAAGGCGGAGAGGATATCTAAACAGGCCTTGGTACTGCCTCACTGATTCACTACCCCATGCCCAAACTTCTTTGTCTTGTCAATTATTCACAAATTCATTGTTTCTTTGTCTAAAAGGTATAAAAGCTGCCTTTTCTGAGCCTCAGATCTTATTTTGGCACCTGGTACATACAAAATTAAGTTTGTTTTCCCCCACACTTCTGCTAATGTCTTAGGTCAACTTAATTATTACACCAGCCAAAGAACCTAGAAGGGAGAAGGTAAAAGTTTTCCTCTCCTATAATCTCATTATGGTTTAAATCGAGAATTTTCTGATGAATGATGATGTTGAAAACTTTTTCATGTGAATATTGGCCATATATGTATGTTTATAAAGTAACCATTTAAAAGTCTGTATAAAACTTTATCTTCCTTAGCAGACTTGATAAAACAGCACTTTCAGGAGACTCTCTAATCTTGAACAATCACTTAATGGAGTCTGGTCTAAGATTTGCTAAAATTCTCTCATCAATAATATTAATAACCAAATACTAACCACTTGTGGTGTTCACATTTTTTGCTTATCTTTTTTATTCCTAAGGAAATTTTCTTGACATATCCCTGGTGTACACTAATATCACTTATAAAATATTTGATCACATATAAAACATATTTTTCTGTACTTTCATTCAGGCCTAAAGTAGGGATGAAATAATTGTAATAAATATTATTCTTCCATGGCAATGTTTACTTGAACATTAATTGGAACAACTAGACACTGGCTAGAGCTTAAATATTTTTGGTTTTGAAACCTATTATAACACTTGCCTAAACCATACAAAACTTTGATAACTATGTATGGTACCAGCTGGGAAATATGGAGGGAACACTATGTAAAGTATATCGATTGTCTAACCACTAAGCTGTATACCTGAAATCAATACAAAATAAAGCTGAAGGAAAAACACACACAAAAATTGCCATTTTTGTAGGTTAAACATCATAATCATACGGTTCAATGAAATTTAACTACTTTATGCTTTTGTAAGTAACTTAATAAATCTTGTTTAAACTTAAAATGTAATTCTTCAGTTAATACTTATCTAGCCACCTCATATATATATTTATATTATAAATTTTACAACAGAAATGAAAATTGCTATTTAATAAAAATTTTAAGACTGTGAAGGTGCTATAGTATTACAATTTTTAAAAAAGACTTTTTTCAGAGTAGTTTTGTGTTCACAGAAAAATTGAGAGGAAGGTACAGGGATTTCCTATATACTCCCTATTACACAAGTAGAAATACAATATAAATTTATTAATTTAATGAAATAAGGAAACATTAGTGTGACAATCGGGTGTTTAGAATTTGGCTTTAAATAATACTACATAGCTTGGAAAAGTTGCCTGGCACATTGCAGATAAGAGGCAAGAGATACACCAATGGAATTTTGCCCTTTCTTCTTTCTGTTAATAAATATTTCTTTTATGAAAAAAGTGCTTCGATCTTTGGGGTTAGAAATGTTGTAAGAAAAGCCAATAGTTAAAAAGGTTGGGAGAAAGACACAAATTTTTATTGAACATTAGCTATGGTTCTAGTATGATTTCTCACATATTCCTCACAACAACTGTCTTGGGGAAGTGTTACCACCCTTGATTTAAAGTTCAGGAAAGAAAGTAGAGAAATTTAGTATTCTACCTACAGAAGGTAAACAGGAACACAGGCTCAAACACACCTGTTAACTCTAATACCTATGCTCTTTTTCTCGCATCATGCATTAGGTACAACACACTTAAAACAGTGTGCAAGAAAAGTTATTTTAAGTATGTATGACTAATCAATAATAACCATAATTATTTTTCTGTCATACTTTCCTAGTCTACAAAGTAGGAGAGAATATCTCTTAAACAAATATGCAAGGTTGATACAGGAAATAAGAAGTGGTAGTAAAACATCATGAACAGAACCTCACTCAATGTAGGTATTCAGAGAGAGAGGGAGGGTAAACTTTATTTCAGGACTACTTTGTTCATCTCCATTTAGTAAATTAACTATATAGAGGATCATATTATAACATGAAAAAAGGGTGCTTATAAAACAATAGCCCATGAGTTCATTCGATTCACTTTTATTCTTAGGAAATGAAAGTTGAGCTTCCCTGACTCAAACAAATATTCTAAATTTCTATGGGTTATCTCTTCAAAACACTAACATTTAATCACTAATACAAATCTGCTAAATTCAAACTGAACAAAAATGGGTGAGTTAAAGACAACGCAGTGTTTCATAAGCCAGTGGTTATATATCTATTAATTCTCCCTACTTTAGTTATAGATCCTCTGATATTTTCCAAATTAATAATAACTGCAGGTATTAATGGAAGAAATTCTAAATAATTAAGTTGCAAAAATAGATCAGAGACACAAAGATTCTGAATAAACAGTCCCAGTGTCATTTATTGATTTTTTTTTTTAAGTCGTATTTCAAGGTTTTACATTAAATGTTTCCATTCAAAAATATCCATCAATACAAATTTTTAAAAATCAAGATTTTAAAAAAAGTTTATGGCAAAAAAGCACAATCTTTCTTAGATCTCTTCAGAACCCCAGTAATGTACACACAGTAAAAATAAAAAATATACTCAAGTATCACGATGAATTGGCCAAATTAAAATAATTAGGAATAGCTAATCGTAATAGAAAACTATAGTTAAATAAGAACCAAATAATACTCTTCTTCTATTTTTGTCTAACAATGGCTTTTTTGGGTGCATATTATCAATGTTAGATTGTGGCTTCCTGAAGTACAAGCTTTATGTTCTGATATGGACCACATTGCTAAATACAGTTATTTATTTGATAATTTATGAATTAAGTGCCAACTATGGGTATTATGCTAGGCACTAAGCTAGGTCCTGGAAATTCCTCAGCTCCAGAAAAAAAGAATCACACCAGTCTCAGAGATTATATCTGAATAGAGAAGAGATCAAAGTAAGGAAAACACAAACAAATGTAACAAGATTCCAATGAAAGATACCTGACAATGCATTTCCATGATGAGCCATCTTGATCATCTTGTTCCTCTATGTACATTCTGACATTATGATCTTGATCCAACTGGTACCAGTACATGAGGCCATCTTTGTCTCGACCAATTGGCTGGAGACGCATGGTATCGGCATCCTCCTCATTGATAATATTCTTGAATTTAAGATTGTCATCAAACTGACACTCGCAGAGGTACTGAAAAACAGGCATAACACAGCTTAAAATACCCCACATAAATGTTTCTCCGTTACAGTAAGTGTGATACATTCAATCACAGAACTGATTCAGGGACCGAAGAAGAACGAACATGCACAGCTTATTAATCTTTTACTATCCTCTCCCCTGATTTTTCTAACCTGCTTAGGACAATCAATTTAAAAAGATAAATTCTAAGTTAACATTTTATTTTAATATTACATAATTTACAAGTTTAACACAATCAATGACACAAAAATCAAGTTATACTTAAAAATAAAGCACTGGGTCTGCCCTAGCCAGTTTGGCTCAGTAGTTAGAGCATCAGCCCGTGGACTGAAGGGTCCTGGGTTCGAATCCAGCCAAGGGCACGTACCTCAGTTGCAGCCTTGATCCCTGGCCCCAGTCAGGGCTGGGAGACAACCAATCGCTGTCTCTCTCACATCAATGTCTCTTTCTCTCTCTCCCTTCCACTCTCTCTGAAAGAAAGCAATGGAAAAAATATCCTTGAGTAAAGATTTAAAAATAAATAAAATAAAAAGCACTGAGTCTGTTTGCAATAAGTCGCCCAAATTGTCTCATGATATAAAATTTTCAATGATTCTTTCTCTCTTAAAGCTTTTAAATGAACATTATTCTTGAAATGGCTATCTGTTTTCAAAAGCTTGAGATATATGTAGTTTTCAAGAAAGGTAATCTCAATGATAGTTGCCTCTAGAGAATTATCTTCATTAAAAGACATCCACATAACTAAATAAAAAACTGACTTTTTGTTAAACATTTTTATATATGATTAGAGTATAAAGTCAGGATTCTTCCCTGAGCCTCTCTGCCCAGGCAGATAATATACGAAGTTCCTATCATAGTCTCTTTGTCTTTGTCTGTTATCTAGCCCAACAGTCTCGCTTCTGTGAAAAGTACTTTTCTTCCTTCAGTATGCTGGCCACCTTAATAACAATTAGTGCCAACACTCTGAAATGAGTAGTAAGAGAAAGTGAAACTCAAACTTGAAAATAAATCTACTTTGAGGAGACCTATTTTAATCTAGCTGGTCTGGTTATGTGGCATGCCCCTAGTCATCTGGAAAACTATCAAATTACTAATTTAGTAAATCAGTAAAAAGATTAACCACAGTTTACAGTATGTATTAGCAATGACTGTGAAGGCTGAAAACAATGAATAAAATTAATTTGAGGCAACTGCTTGCCCATTCTACTATAGTCCCTAGAAGCACAGATCATTAAACTTAGATATACTTGTATACTAATACATAACCAAAAATAGTAATTTAAAAAATAGACTTTTGTCACCAAAAAAATGAAAGAAAAAAATCTACTGTCCTTTTCCAATAACAGAAATGCCTACTTTCTAGTTATTTTTCAAGTTCAAACAGGAGTCAAAGTGAATTTTTAAATTAAAATAATTTTAACATATGATAAACTTATTACCTTTAGGAGTGCTAGTTTGCATTCAACACTCATTTCAAGATAGCCTTTCTTCTCCATCTCCCACGCCCAGGTACTATTAAACTCTTGGCATATCTGCAAGAGAAAGTTAGTATCTTAATACATCAAAGTTTTATTTAATAGATAGTTTTGCTGTATAACTATGGGTAACTACTCTTGATAATATACATTTATAAAGGAAAAAGTTTGTAACAAACAATCCAATCCAATTCTACCCCAAAACGTATCCTACTTAAATACACCAGAAATGTTTCTCTCTGCAGCTCTCTCCTCTGCTCTTGAAAATGTTATACACACTTTTGTGACACATTTTCCCAAATGCAAGTAATTACCTGATTCTGTCTCCCTACGTGGCCTGGAATTTTCTGGAGGGCAAGCACAACAGTTTATTGATCTCTAAGCCTAGAACAGAAGTAGGTTGAAAAACATGCCAAACTATAGGCATATTTTAAATCAAGCCACTCTCCAACTAAATGTTCTCCTATTTATGGGTAAAGATCCTACTGCTTAGCATTTCAGACCCTCTATAATACGGCATAAACTTAAATTTCTAGACTTCTATCCATATACAGGCATTTCAGGCAAACCAGAGCACCTAACAAGCTTAGGAAAGATCTAGATAACCACTCTACTCAATAATAGGGACTAATCAGGAGAAATGCCTTGGGTTCTATAACCTATGAGCCAGTTTCTTCAGCAATAAAAGGGGAGCAAGAATAATACTGACCTTAAAGGTTATGAAATAGGCATAAAAATGACACAAAGTACCTATGAACTTCAATAAAATCTGTCTTTATTGTCTTTAACTAATGCCTGGCTTTGTTTATCCTTGGATATCATTTGGATTGAAATTTTTATTTTACAACTGAGAAACATGAAATTTAGAGAGAGTCCTTTATCCGGTGAAGTCCACAAATATTTACTGAGTAGTTACTCGCTAGCAGTAGCTTAGTCAAGGATCTGGGGAAGACAGACAACTTGCCATCATGGAGGTTACATTCTGGGAGGTAGTTGAACAGGTAATAACAAAAAAATTTCAAGTAGCCCAGTGGGTATGGCTCAGTGGATTGAGTGTCGTCCCATGCACCAAGAGGTCACCGGTTTGATTCTCAGGTCACAGGCCCAGGATGTGTGTGGGCTCTATCCCCAGTAGGGGGCCTGCAAGGAGGCAGCTGATGTTTCTCTTTCTCCCTCTTCCTTCTTCTCTCTCTCTCTCCCAATAAAAAATAAAAAAAAAAAACAACATTTAATTTTTCAAGTAAAGACAAATGCTATGCTGCAAATAAAATACTGTGATCGTTTGAGTGCTATTTTGCATTGGGTACTGAGGGAAAACCTCATTTTATTTTATTATTTATTTTAAAATATTTATTACTGATTTAGAAAGAGAGACATCGATTTGTTGTTCCACTTATTTATGCATTCACTGGTTGATTTTTTTATGTGGCTTGACCAGGGATCAAACCCATAACCCAGGACGACATTCTAACCGACCAACCTACCTGGCCAGGGCAAAAAAAAACCTTTCTAAAAGGTTGACATTTGACACAAAAAATTGAGACATAAAATAGAAGTAAGCCGCAAAAAGATCTGGAGGAGTAATGTTCCAGGCAAAAGAAACAAGCTAGCAAAAAGGCCTTAAGGTCTGGCATATTAGGAAAACAGAAAAGATTAGTCAGTTTAAACGGAGTAGAACAGCGATTTTTAACTAATGTGCCGTAAGAATTTTTAAAACATGCAATACCTATTTAGTCAGGGGCAAAAACCTCTTTTCCCTTAGATTGTCAAATTACAGAAAGATAACAGCCAACACAACACTAGCCATCTGGTGTGAACGGGTCAAAATTATACCTCTAATAATTTCTATAGCCAACACAATGCATCTCAAAGAACATTATAAGTTCTTACTAGAGTAATAATAGCATTTACTGCATGCTTACTATGTGCCCAGTGCTGTTCTAACTGCAAACTCAGTCAATTCTCACAAGCATTAGACAGATGTGCTGCTATCCTCAGGAGAGTATGTGCTTTAGCCAAGGGATGAGGGAAACAGGAATTACTATCTTTAGTCATTCATGAGGAAATCAGTATATATTTAACATACCGATCAGGTCATTGTCACCAATTTGGCTGTGGAAAAAGGCCAGGCTAAGAACTATAAATCATCTAGCTCCGTTATTTATACTTAAATTACACCTCACCAGATCTCCCTGACACAATATTTAAATATGTCCAACTGTTTTATATATATTCTTTCTAACCCAGACATTTACTGAGCATATTAAGTACTGGAGGGCAAAATGAATTAATAGTCAGTCTCAGTTCTAGGAAATTCAGAGAGAGAGAGAGAGGCTAAGTCATGTAAACAAGTAGTCAGTGAGTAATCTACAAACTAAGTAAATGATATAATTATAAACTACTATGAAAATACAGGAGAGAAACCCTAATTCAGCCTATGGATAAGGGAAGATTAAAGAAGGTTTTTATTCAAGTGATGACATTTATGCTACGACCTGAAGGATGAAGGAAGTTTTACCAGATGAGGAGGTAAAGAGCATTTCAGGAAGAAAACAACAGAATATGCAAAGCAACAGGAATGAGTGATATGAGTGTCACTGTGAAGGTGAACAGGGAGTTCTTTATGCTGAGTTCTAGAACCCTAGATCTTGAGTGCTTGGGGCTGGGAGTGGGCAGAGACAAGCTGTGAAGGAAAGTAGTGAGCAGGCTGTGAAAGGAGGTCATGTCTTATAAATATGGGGACTCAACATGCATTTGGAAGTACTGATGGAAAATAGTTCTGTTGGACTGTGCAAGGCAGGAGGGTAAATTCTGAGGTTAAGGAGATCTACTAAAGCCTGTTTTGCAACAATTCAAGAGAAAGGCGATGAAGCCTGAGCTAAGCTTGGCAGAGAATACTCAAGGAAAGGCAGATTCTGATTGTTAGCGCACTTATCTTACGAAAGCAGTAACAGATTTTATGTTTAATATATGGTTTTACTATTTTTTAAAAATTTATCTTTATTGTTGAAAGTATTACAGATGCCCCCTTTTCCCCCCACCACTGATCCCCTCCATCCCACATCTGCCCCACCCCTAGGCCTTCTCCACAGTATTGCCTGTGTCCAGGGGTTATTATGGTTTTACTATTTATGACAGAACTTTCTCATACATTATTTCACTAGAGGTGGGTATCCTGTAAAACTATAAGACTTTTGAAAGCAAAAGGATATTTGATTCATCTTTCCATTTCCTACAGTACCTACCAAATACACCGTCTTGCTGACAGTAGACAATAAATACTATATCAATGTTCTCTGTTATAACTACTAAGATAACCTACTATTATGATGGAATATGTGGGAACACTGCCTATGAGAATGCATTAAAGATTATATAGAAAGGATGTTTCTTTAATTCCTTAAAAATATATACATGAACCCTAGCAGGTTTGGCTCAGTGGTTAGAGCGTCGGCCCATGGACTGAAGGGTCCCAGGTTTGATTCCGGCCAAGGGCGTGTACCTCGGTTGCCCTCTCCAGTCCTTGGGCCGAGTGCAGGAGGCAACCAATCGGTGTCTCTCACATCAATGCTTGTCTGTCTGTCTGTCTCTTCTTCTTCTCCCTCCCTCCC